CGCTCTTCCAGCTTAAGGACCAGTCCTGCTCCCCTCACCCAGCCCACAGGGCCAACCGAGCCCAACACCCCTGCTTCGCGTACAGAAAAGTGAGGAGGTGCAGAGAAGGGCAACAGGGATGATTCACGTGGAGGGGCTGCCGTAGGAGAACAGGCTAAGGCCCACTCAATTTAGTGAAAAAGAGACGCGTGAGGGAGGGGGGTTACAAAATACTCCATGCCAAAAAAGGAACCTGACAGGGATCTATCGCTGGATCTCGCTCGCGATACGAGAACGAGGCATCCCCAGGTTAAAACTGACCACAAGAAGTGCCTTTCACCCAAGGGGCCATTTAAGCCTGGGACGAGCTTCCTGCACCTGAAATTCTGGAAGCTGCAAGGGGGGGGAGGGGAGGTAAAGACCCTGTCGTGCCCAACTTCCCCCACCCCCAGCAAGGCCAAGGCCGCTCCTATGGACCCCTCCCGCGCACAGAGTCCGGCGGAGACGCAGGGGTTCCTCCCTCCCGCCCCGCACCCGGGCAGGCGCCGCCACCGCACACGCACCCGCACCCGCTTGCAGCAACTTCCGGAACCCTGTCCGCCGCCTCCCCTTCCCCCCGGACCAGGCACGTCCCCGCCGGGTTCCGACTCTCTTGCCACCGGAAGTGGACCGGAGGGGGTTGGCCCCGTGCTCCCGCTGTGCCCCCGCCTCTCCCGAGTGCGCCCCCTGCAGGGCGGAGGGGGAGTCGCACGGTGCGGGGCTGGGGCAGGGACAGCTGGTCCGGGAAGGGCCAGGGGCTGCGGGAGGGAGGGTTTGGGGTCCTGGCAGCACGTGCACAGCTCCAGACCAACATACGTGTGTGTGTGTGTGTGTGTATGTATATATGTGTGTATACATGTGTGTGTATATATATATGTGTGTTTATGCATATATGTGTGTGTATATGCATGTATATATGTGTGTATGTGTATGTATATATATAATAGTATGTATGTGTATATATATGTGTGTGTGTGTATATATATATAGTGTGTGTGTGTGTGTGTGTACACATACATAATACATATATGGACTGTGTGTACACGTATGTATGTGTGTGTATACACATATGTACATACATATATTTACCCTAGAGGTCTTCAAGAGAAGACTGGACGGTCACCTGGCTGGGGTCACCTGACCCCAGATGTCTTTCCTGCTCATCATGGGGCTGGACCCGAGGATCCTTCAGGGCCCCTTCCAGCCCTATGATTTTATGACTGGTATGGGGCAGCCCTTTTGTTAAAAATGAGAGTCATTTCTCTATTAAAAATAGAGAAACTATTAGAAATTAAACTCCATAAGAGGGATCTCTTAATAGCAGTTGCCTGCTCCAGATAAATGGTGCTCTCTTTACTAATGCTGCTCCTGGAAAGGGCAGCAGCAAGTTAGATTCACAGAAAATTAGTGCTGGAAGGGACCTCAGGAGGTCATATCTAGTCCAACCCCCTGCTCAAACCAGGACCAGTCCCAACTAGATCATCCCAGCCAGGGCTTTGTTGAGCCAGGTCTTAAAAACCCTCAATGATGGAGACTCCACCACCTCTCTGGGTAACCTGTTCCAGTGCTTCACCACCCTCCTAGTGAGAAAGGTTTTCCTTACACCCAACCTAAACCTCCTTTACTGCAACTTGAGCCCATTGCTCCTTGTCCTGCCATCTGCCAGCTCCATCCTATTTCGAACCCCACTTCAGGGAGTTGAAGACTGCTATTCAATCCCCGCTCGGTCTTCTCTTCTGCAGTCTAAATAAGCCCAGTTCCCTCAGCTGTTTTCCTGCTTATGTGCCACAGCCCCCTAAAGGTTTTCGTTGCCCTCTGCTGGACTCTTTCCAATTTATCCACATCCTTTGTCTAGTGGGGGGCCCAAAACTGAACACAGTACTCCAGATGCAGCCTCATCAGTGCAGAATAGAGGGGAATAATTACTTCCCTTGATCTGTTGGCAATGCTTCTACCACTGCAGCCAGAAGTTGTCTTCCCCAACCATACTCCAATCCCTGATTTGAAAGAAGAACATGGAAACATCCTTGTTTCCATTCTAGAATAAAACAGTGGCATGTTCAATGTGCAATTGTTCTGTGTTTTTTTCCCCAAAGCATTTGGTTTTCTGCAATAAATAAATCAATCAGCATTATTGTTTTAACATAATTCCTGAAGTGCTGTGCCTGTTTTGAAAACGTTTGGATTTCTGTAACATCTCAGTTTGGATTTTTTTTCCTTTCTCCACAACATTGAAGACATAGATAATGGATATAATCACTCTACCTGTTACTGAAGTAATGTGTAACTGTCTCAGCTGCGATCCTTGTAAGGTCCCAATCCAGAAAAGTTCTTATGCACATGATTAAATGTTTTTGCTCATGTTTTTTGCAAAGGGCTTCACTCGCTGACAATCTTTACTTTTAATTCAATGGATTTTATATCAAGCACCATGTGTTTTGCGGGGATTGGACTTAGCAGCACAAACCAGCATGTCCTCGAGGAACCATGAGTTGTTTTGCTCAAAGATAATTGTTTGATATACCCTGTGTTCCTCTTACATGCATACCTGATAAGCATACAGGCCGCTCCCAAATCAATGCCTATTGTTTATGTTGTAACAAACAGGGGTTATGTATCCCTTAAATGCATAAACTCTGTAGCTCATAGCATCTAGCAACCTCACTGTTTACATTGTAATTTAATTGTGCTTTTGCTAACTGCATGGTAACTGTAACTGTTTAGCTTGCACATAGGAACATAAGAATTGCTGGCTCAGACCCTAGGACCGTCCATCTTGCCCAGTCTCCTGTCTCACACCATCAGCTCCTCCTCCACAACCTCCTGCTGAGGTCCTGGCTGCACTTTTCCCCCGCACCTTTTTTGGTACGCACTCCTCATCTGTGGCCCCACCAAGGCCCAGGACCTCCTGGTCAACCTTCTCCTGGTTCTGGCCAAGATGGCCATCTACAAGACCAGGAAGGAGGCTCTGGCTGGGAGGAACCCAGGCGAGTGTGGGACTCTCTTCCTGTCACACCTCCAGGCAGAGTTTTACTAGTCAGTATCCACAGACTCCCTCAACACATTTAGGGGGCTGGTGTGCTCTGCTCCATGTCCCCTTCCACAGCGGGTGGCTGCAGAGCCCAGCTCCCGCTTCCATCCCTTCCCGGTGGGCAGCACTGCCATCCCAGACTGGCGGGGGGGGGGGGGGGGGGAGGATGCAGGCTACCCACTGCAGGCTTGGGGCTCCCTGCCTTGCCGCCCTCTTGCCAGGGGCTCTGCAGCCCAGTGGGCAGGACCCAGCGCAGGAGGAAGGAAGCGCCACACTGCTAGGCTGCCAAGCTGAGGGCATTCCCTGCTCATCCCCTCTGTGCAGCCTCCCTCCCACAATGGGTCCCATCCCTGGGCTGCAGAGGGGCTCTCTCCCAGTGCAGGTGGAGCCTGGCTGCAGGGGCAGAAAGCTCAGGGGCACATTAACATCCACTGATGTTCCCATCCCATATGGGTCAAAACCCACAGTTTGGGAACTGCTGCTGCCTTACAGGGTCCTGTGAAGGGCCTGAGCCCAGGAGCTCCTGGTGCATCCGATGGGCCCGTGGGAAACCAGACACCAAACCCTGGCCGCAGCCCACGTGGTGCTTCGCCCGCAGGGGCCCCCCCGCCTCTGCCCCTTGTTAGCGTCCTGCGTTACCGCGGAAACGGGCCGCACCATCCTCCTCCGGGGAAGGGGGGGCTCTTCACTGAGTGTCACCCCCTCCCTACCACCAGGGGGGGCGGGCACTGGCAGCCGTCCTGCCGTGTATCCCCACCCCCGCGTGTCTGTCTCCTCTCCCCCCACCCCGCTGTGGGGCTGCGCGGGGGCAGGAGACCTCTACTCCCCCCCAGAAGGCGCAGAGTGGTACATCCCGAGATGTGAGGGGGGGGGAAGGAGGGAATGGGCTGCACCATCCTCCCCCAAGGAGGGGGGGCAGCTTCATGGAGTTTCCTCCCCACCACTTGCAAGGAGGTGGGGCAGCTGTCCTGGCACAGGTCCTCGCCCCCGTGTGTCTGTCTCCTCTGCCCCTCATCCCGCTGTGGGGCTGCCCGGGGGGAGGCAACCTCAATCCTCTCCCCTCCCCCCGGAGGATGGAGTGGTACATTCCGAGGTGGGGGAGGAGGCGCAGGCAGCCGCGAGCCCCCGGGATCCCCGGGCCATGGCCGCAGCCGCGCCCCGCGCCCACCGCCCCGTGCACCGCCCGCTCCGGGCCCAGGTGAGCCCCAGGGCAGGGCAGGGTAGCTCCTTCCCTTGCGAGGCAGAGGGGTCCTGGAAGGGTGCAGCCCCTTCCCTTTGCAGCTGCCCCCTCCCGGCCCGAGGGGAAGCTGGGTCTTGAACCTGGAGAGGCCGAGGAGCAATGCCCCGGGCTTGGACAGGTGCCCTCTGTCCCTAGTGCTCTTACCTGGATGTACAAGGAGTGTCCTGGGCAGCCCCTCTGCCAATGGGAGGGGCGACCGCCGGGACCCCAAAGTTTTGCAACAGATGTTTTTTGAGGGGGGGGTTTGAAGTTTTTGCAAAGAAGCGGCTCTACTTGCATCTGAACGCGTGGCTATTTCTCTAATTCCCCCAAGGAATATTAAAAAGATCCATGCTACAATGGTGGGGGGTTATAGGTCATCCAGATTAAGCCTCCAAGGGCCTCACGTGACTCTCTTGCCCAGGGCCCCAACACCCCCCCTACGGCCACCACGGGCAGCGCAGCCCTGAAGTGATAGCAGCAGCCTTTACAAACACCCAGATGAGGTAGATGGAAGGCGCCTGGTGAGCGATGCTACCAGGCATGGGTCATAGATTTGGAAGTTGGGATTGGATGCCGTACGAGAGAGAGTTGCTAGGTGTGGAGCGTAAACTGCTGGTTGTATGTTAACAGCTCCCTCTGCGAGCTCTAGGCCCCCACAGGAAGGTTGGCTCAAATCCCCAGTGTCAGAGAGCTAACTACAGGGCGTTGGGTCTACTGGGCATCAGAAAATGCTGGTACTGAGTTCTCGCTGGGTTTTTTTGACTGCAGAAATACATGAGAGCTGGGGGTTTTACCTCTTACAAAGAACTCAGGCCATTTTAACACAACGGTCCTGGCCAACCATCCTGCCCTGCAAGGCTGATCTCTGCCATGGCGCATAGATGAGGCTTGAGGTGACTGAAGAGTTCAATCCTCGAGCCGCAGATCCATCCGCAGGAGTTGCAGGTCTTCCCACAGGGGAATGTCAGCTGCAGGCTAGGATTCGTCTGCTTTTCCTTCCTCTCCTTTTCCTTCCTCTGCTGTCTTGTCTTTGCACTGAGGGCGGGATGCTTTACCTTGAAACGGGCTGTCACTTGCTTGAGGTTGTGGCACCACTGGAGTCTGTTGGCAGCCAGCTCCTCCCAGCTTTTGATGTGAGCATCCGTTTTCTTGAGCTCTGCCTTCATTGTGTCCCTGTAGTGTTTCCTCTGGTCACCATGAGATTCCCAGTCCATTATTACTATGGATTCCCATTTAAAAGCTTTGGGTTTGTCATGCAAATCACGTTTGCATACTGAACAGTGCTCATATTGCATGGCACCCTTGAAAGCATCACAAGGGACCAGTTACTGCCCTAGAGACAGTAAAGCCACTGAGCTGCAGTGATGGGCATGGAAGCCTGGAGCAGTGCCTGCAGGTGCATGTCTGTACGCTAGAGCGCAGCATCTCCCACACTTGTAGCAGGAAATGCCTGAAGCTGAGGTGCAAAATGCCTTTGAGCCAAAGCCTCTGGGCAGAGGGGACCCATGGAAATACCTGGGAGTTACTTGTCCTTGGGGCTTTGAAACAACCTTCCTATTGGGGCCAATAGATTTACTACTGAGTTGCTAATATATCAACCACCAGCAGGATTTACACGCTATGCATAGCAATTGTAAGAGCACTAAGTATAGCAAACAAACAAGTAAGTCCTCACTATTTTAAGATAATTCAGAAAAAATGCATTTGAAAGATTATACAGCAAGCATCCCCATCAGGGAAAAATAATTGTATGTGTGCGCGCACAGGGTTGGCACTGAGACCACAGGCATCAAAATTAAAAATTAATCCGGAGCCATGCACATCTTACAAAAATTAACAAAATATTAGAAAATAGGTAAATGATAAAGGAAAGGTTGACCCCTTTGCATACAACAGTGACACCCCCTTTCTATTATATCTTTCTTATGCAGTTTTGCATCGTGTCATTAAAAAGGTCCAAAAATACTAATAGAGTAAGTTTGTCTTTCTACAGAACCTTGTGTTTTTCAAAGAACTTTGCAGATATTAACTAGTTGAGCCTCCCTGCCCCTGGGAAATAATAAGGGATAGACTAACCTTGCATAACACTGAACTGCAAGCCCTGGATATAGCAGGTGTTTGCCGGTACATTGCCACACTAAAACAACAGGGGAAGGCAAGAAAGAAAGAATCCCAGTATCCAGTTGTAAAGTTAGGGGGGTGAACTGCTTGACAAAATATAATGGTCTAAATTAACTTTTAGCCAGGACACTACAGTTGCCCATGTCAGCTGAACCTGTGACCATGATATGCAGCTGAGGGTGGAATTGGAGAAGGGCACAGCCTTTCAAATCCAAGTTCATGTCATGATTAAAATGAGCCCATACTAAAACCGTGTCTGAACAGTTTGGAGGTCAGGTCTTCTCTAGTCAGTGATCCCATCAGACTTGCATATGTACAGTACTCCAGCTGGCAGTGCGAAGCGAGGCTGGCTTGCTTTTGAGACCAGGACTAAGATAACAGTGGGTAGTATGCATCAGAACTGAGTTAGAGCCGTGTTGGAAAACTTGCTCAGCATCCTCTGAAGTATGTCTGTAGAGTTAAACTCTTGCCTTTCTGCTTATTAAAATTCAACCAATTTTAGAGTATACACAACGGTGTGTGATATTTTTCTAGGCTGTGGTTTCTGTCATATTTAAGAGAAGTTCAGCAACTAGACATAATCCATTTGAATCTTCAGGGAGACTTGGGGCAGCTGGATTTCATTTAATAAACTAAACATCTCTCACTAAATAGGTATGTGTGTATACACATACATCACTTTGGTACCTGATAGTTGATAACACTTATTATACATTCAGTCTTTTGAATGGGACTACTCTGCCTAGCTTCTCTCTGTCCTCTTTTTCTTGAGTCAATCAGCCACACTCGCTTCCACAAAGCTCTGCCTATGCACACAAGCAAAATAATAATAATTAAAAAAAATATCACTCTCTTTCTGGGGATTCCCTTTTTCTGTAATTCACAGACTGGCTCCATCTCCACCCCAGTAGTGGATGCAGAGATGAAGGAAACCACAGATGCCTACACATATTCTAGCAGTCGAGTGGCTTCTCCTGCCTCTGTTTTTAAGAATTTGGAGAGCCCTGCATATCAGAAGGTCAACAGATATTGGTTTCTGAGGCATGAAAGATAACTGATTGTCTTTTCCCGCCCGGCAGCCAGCTGAATTACAACTTTTGTCCTCTTGATGGCACTAGCAGAATAGCTTCAAGGATTAACCAATTTCTGGGGGGGAAAAAATTGCTGATCTATTAGTGTTCCTCCCACGGTACTGTAGGGCTGTGATTGCTGCTGCTTAGAGGATGAAGAGGAGAAGCAAGGTCTACCTCAGTCAATGCCAAGCCTCTCTTGAGTCAGCAGCATTCAGGCAAATAGCAAGCTGTTTGATTCACTCTGTGTTTTTTTTCTCTCTCCTTGCGGGGGCAGTCTCTCCTGCTTCATTTCCTCATTTTACTACAACGGATAGTAGTGCCATTCACACTGGTATAGTTTGGGCTGTCTCACTGTAATTAAGCTTTGAGTTCCCCTCGTATTTCCTCTCTTCCCTGCCAGAATGCAGAACTTAGTCTTTAAATGTACAAAATTTAAACATGGCAAATAAAAAAAAAAAAAAAAAAAATTCAGGTCTTGTGGCAGCAAACAAATTGGCTTTAAAATGAGCAACTTGGTGATTTTGTAGTGGCGATGCAAAGTCAGCCTTTTGGTTTGGTTTTGTTCTCATCTCAAAAGCAGCTTAGGACAACTCAGACTTTTTAGACGGTTCATTTGGTGGATCCTTCAGGTGCACAGTAAAATAGTTCCTTTTATTCAAAATGAATCGTGGGGCCAGATTGCAATGAGGCCTCCCTGAACTGAAATTTGAAAGCATTTGATTAGAACACACATAAATAGGTCATGAATATATATACAACTCACAAATATATATATGATGTGATTATATATACTCACCTACTGTCGTGGTTCAGTGGTAGAATTCTTATCTACCATGTGGGAGATCTGGGTGTGATTCCTGGATGTCCAATAACTATAGCTATCAAGGCTCTAGACTTGGTCTGGACTTTGGATACTGTCTCAATGGCCTAACATGGGGATGGATAGTCTGGACAGCCTGCACTCCTCCATACTCCTGCCTAGGCATATGCATCAAAGGTCTTGGTGACCTCTCATGCATATACTATGATCCAGAAGTATTGATGGTTGCCTACTAATATACACGCACACACAATGAGTTTATTTTATTTATACACCCCTTCCCCCAAAACAATGAGTCAACACCTTCCCCTTTATTAGAAAAGTGGTACAATAAATAGGTATTTGTGTAACAGTTAAAGTCAAGATAAGTTAAGGAGTAGCTAACAGTGTATTGGGTAAAAACACTTCTTTTCACAATCAATCCACATATTTTCCACTGAAATAGGTATAAATGACTAGGCTGCTGGATTAATTTTATGTTTACTAAAATATACATAAGGGTAATCCTACAGTGGATAGCATTAGTTATAATTTATTCACTTGTAGTTACTTTTTACAATATTATATTGACTTCTATGGGAGCTTTGTCTTTTTAAGGATGACCGAATTGGGCTGAGAGTTGTCCGTCACTAGTGCTTGGTTGATATTGTTTTCATTTCTGGTCTAGGAGGTTGTCTGTTCGAGTCCAGCGTTATGCCTTGTGTTTATGCCCAGTATTGTCACTGCAGCGGAGTGGAATGGATTTCTCAACTAAAAGGATCTTTTTTTTTTTAATAAGACATTTTAAAACTGCATTCTGCCTATACCTCTGGTATCTTTATAGGCAGGACTTGAAGATTCAAGAGCAATGTTTAAGCAGAGTAGGCAATACTCTTGGCATCCTGGATAATATCCCTGCTCCCAGGGCTGCCCTACACAGGGAGTTTACTTTATAATAAACTGAGCTGCAGAGATGCAAAAAG